AATTGTTTCTGTTGTGGCTATTAGTATTGTGAAGGTTGTACTAGAAGGTGTTGCTATTTCCAAATTGCCATCTGTTAATTGCTCACCATAGTATAATTGAAATACATATTTATTTTAAAAGTACTCCATATTTTGACTTTCATATATAGAAATATTGGATGAAGTTGTTATTTAGATGGCTGTAAAGTTTTTGCAATTGTTTCTGTTGTTGCAACTATTAATATTAGCATTGTTGGAGTTGTTGTGGAGGTTGCACTGGAAGGTGTTGTTGTTTCTGAATTGCTATTAGATAATTGCTCACCAGAGTATAATTGATGTGCATGATTATATTGAGAGTTACTGAAAGGTGTTGCTGTTTCTAAATTGCTATTAGATAAATGAATATTATATCTTGTAGTTGCATTAGAAGGTGTTACTGTTACTGAATTGCCATCAGATAATTAAGCATACTCCATATTTCAACCTTCGTGTATAGAAATTTCATTTTATCTTTTATATATAGAAATATTAAATAAAGTTGTTACTATAAATAGCTGTAAAGTTTTTGCACCTGTTTCTGTTGCAGTTGCACTGAAAGTTGTTGCAAAGGTTGTACTTAAAGGTGTTGCTGTTTTCAAATTGCTATCAGATGATTGCTCACCAGAGATGATTGAAGTATATAATCATATTGAGAGTTACTAGAAGGTGTTGCTGTTTCTGAATTGCTATCAGATGAATGAATATTATATTTTGTGGTTGCATTTGAAGGCGTTACTGTCTCTGAATTGCTATCAGATAATTGAGCATACTCTATATTTTGACTTTTATGTATAGAAATTTCAGATGATTGAGTATACTCTATAATTCAACTTTTGTGTATAGAAATATTAAATGAAGTTGTTACTGTAGATGGCTGTAAAGTTTTTGCACTTGTTTCTGTTACAGTTGGTGTTGTTGTGGAGGTCGCACTGGAAAGTGTTGTGGAGAACTCACTGGAAGGTGTTGCAGAGAGCATACTGGAAGGTGTTGTGGAGGTCACACTAGAAGGTGTTGCAGAGAGCATACTGGAAGGTGTTGCTAAAGTAGCACTGGAAGGTGTTGCTGTTTCTGAATTGCCATCAGATGATTGCTCACCAGAGTGTGATTGAAGTATATGGTCATATTGAGAATCACTGGAAAGTGTTGCTGTTTCTGAATTGCTATTAGATAAATGAATATTATATCTTGTGGTTGTGTTGGAAGGTATTACTGTTCCTGAATTGCCATCAGATAATTGAACATACTCCATATTTCGACCTTTGTTCATAGAAATTTTAGATGATTGAGCATACTCCATATTTTGATTTTTGTGTATAGAAATATTGAATGAAGTTGTTACTGTAGATATTAATCATAAATTATACTGTTTATGTTTTTTAAAACTTTTTAATTCATGTAGTGTATTAGTTGTATAAGTATGGGTGATATATACTATATAAAATAACAAGTATAAATGATGTAATAAAATGAAAGTAACTTTATAATATATATGATGTAATACCTATGATCAATAGTGGCCGTGCTATAATTCTATATACTTTATATAATAATATTCTAGCAAAATATTTTATAGTTGCTAAACATAAATCTCATTTCTCAAGATCTATTTTGAACAATACTATTGATGGTTAAGATAATATATTTTATTTTTCTTTAGATTGAGATATCTATAAAGTGTCATCTATATATGCTAATATAATATAAAAGTTTAAAGATAATAGTTACGCGGAGGACCATTTATATGACGGTCAGACCCAACGTACAGGGCAGACTATGGAATCCTGCGCAGCTGTGAG